CCGGGCGCCCGCCCCCCCCCGCAGCCGCAGCCGCAGCTGTAATACCGGCCGTCTCAACGCCTCCCCCCTTCCAGGTGAGTTCAGCACATAAAGTCCTGCTTCCCGTACATCCCACTTCCCATACATCCCACATCCTGCTCTGCATACCCAGGGTGGGGGGAAAGCCTGGCCCCCTGCCCGGCTCCTGTTCAGGAGATGCTGTAGAGGATGTTACGGTGCCCAACAGCCCTGCAGTTCATCTGACCTGTCGTAGACATATGCACTTTGGACAGCTGTTCCCCCACTATGGGAGACCCAAATGTGGGAGGGAGGGAACAGCCCCCCCCGTGACGGCATAACTCCTTCAACAGGGCACGTGCTGCCTACCCTCCCATTGCCACCCCCCGCTTCTAGGGGGTTTGCAATTTAGGGGGTGGAAACGGGATATTACAGCAATTTAAGCACTTTTTTTGAGGTCTGAACACGATGCTTTCCTTCCAGGGCCGCCCCATCACACCGGTGTACACCATGGCTCCCAACGTGCAGCGGATCCCCGCCGCCGGGATTTACGGGACAAGTTACGTGCCATTCGCGGCGCCCGCCGCGACGACAGCGACGATAGCCACGCTACAGAAGAACGCCGCCGCTGCCGCTGCTGCCGCTGCCTATGGGGGATACGCCGGCTACATCCCCCCGGCATTCCCGGCCGCGACCATCCAGGTCCCCATCCACGACGTCTACCAGACGTACTGAGACTGTCAGCAGAGGAGAGCGGCGGAGAAACACACACTGAAGGAACACTTTACTATTTATGAAGAAAGAACCGGCTACGAAAGTCTAAATGTTTGGTCTCGGTAAACTGATGCAGGAAGTGAAGAATGTCATAGAAAAACGTGTTCAAAATATTTTCTACGCTTGAAGTTTTCACTAACTTTTTTAGGCTATTTTTAAAATTTAACATGCCTGTATTCATACATTTCTAAAGGACCTCGATGCATCCAGCCCACCGCTGAGATGCATTTATACGCATCCAAGTGGGGTTGCATAGGGTCTTTTTTTTTTTTTTAAGCAGTTATATTTTCAATATATTTGTGGTATGAAGGTTATTTTTTAGTAAGTTCTGCACTCCAGAGATGTCTATTTTGTAGTGCCTTTAATAATATATCAGCTATATATTAAAAAGCACAGCTGAGCAGCTAGGGAAAGTTTTAACAATATAATTTGAAGAATATATTCAATATTTAAAGAATACATACCTTAGTTTTGGGTTTGTTTTTTTTTTTAAGGAAAAAACCAACAAGTATCTTATTTAAAAAATTATACTGGAAAGTGCAATTTTAAAAATGTGCAAGACCTCTGCATTTTTGTACTGGCATTAATACAATCTGCTCATTCTTATTTGAAATCAGAACTAATATTGCCTGTTTGGAAGAAAGGAAAAAAAAAAAAACCTCCTCACACGAACCTCTTCACAGTGTGATTTGCAGGCTTGCGTTAAGTAAAGGAAAGGCTCTGAGTTTTCCTTAACAACTGGATTTTCTATTTATTGAAGCTACTCGCAGTTGGAGCATGTGCAGAAACGAGTAGCCGATATTTCATGCGAGGTGTCTTGACTTATATCTTCATCCAGTATAAAGCCTAGGCTCTTTTTCAACGCTCTTTATTTTATTCTTTGAAGTATATGTTGTAGTGACTGAGAATGTATGCTGCTGTCGGCAATAGCAGGCGCGCTCTCGACGAGAGGATGCGCAGCATTACTTACCCATCGCTCCATCATGTTCCGTGAGAAATTTCTGAGGTACTAGGGGTGGTAGTGATACTGGAATTAGTGAAACGGGGCTAGCCTCCCTCCCGGCCTCCCTTCCACGCTTAATTCCCCTTCTCCGCAACTGGAGTTGTACATGCACATCAGGGGTGGGAGCAATTAGACCCGACGATTTTAAGACATAGAGCTTGTAAATATCTTTTAATATACATTTTTAAAGTCATTTTATGTTGCAAATTTACGTGGTATGTGGTTTGCCACAAAACAAAAACCTTTTATTGCGATGTTATAAAAAAGTTTGTTTTATTAAGAAGTAAATTTATTATTGCAGTGTTTTGTGGCCTGTTTAAAGGCTTTTATTTAGTAGCATGGTGAATGTAAAATATAGTAAAATGGTAAGGAAATATCTTGGCCATTTTATGAAGTGCATCAGCCCTGCAAACACAGCTCCGGTGACACGAGGTGCGAAGCAGGGAGTGAGTAAACTTTACTTTTTCCTTTACTTTTTGTGGTATAAGTATCAACCGAAGGGGTTTCGTATTGAGTGTATTTTGAGAACTGAACCACTTGTAGACCACGTCCAGCTCAGTTAAGTGACCTTTTAATACATCTTTTTTTCCTTGCCTCAAAAATCGAGCGGTTGTTTTTTTAGGTGCTCTTGCTCAGCCAAGCTGAGCTCTCCCGAACCCTGTCCACCCGGTAGCGAAAGCACTGTGAGGAGGTTAACCACTAGGTCGGACTCTGCCCCTCCACGCCCCTTCCCGAAAGACTTTTATCGTCCGTCCCTGCGCTTCAGCAAGCGCACCCAGACCTTAGCCCCGAGGCCCTGCCCCGTCTGTAGGGCAAGGGGAGGTGGTTTGGGCAAAGCCCCGAGGGTGAAGCCCCCAACGGGGAGGCCGGCACTGCCTCCTCCAGCCCTCCGGCTTAGGTCTTGCGCTGCTCAACACTAAATGCTGCTGTGGGTCCATGGGCTCTGCATAAACACCCCTGGGATTGGGAAAAGGCAGGCTAGTGGTTTGGGTCTCTGCCGGCCCCTTTCCAGCCCCACGCCATGGCCGACCCACAGAGGAGGGATGAAGGGCTCCCTTCCCACTCGTCCTCCCCCCGCCAGCAGGACAAGGGTCCTGCCACTCCAGGGCTGGCAGGGAGAGAAAGGAGCCAACGAGGGCAAACCCCAAGGAGCCCCAGGGTGCCCGTGGGTGCTGCCTACGCCGGGGCAGGAGCGGGCAGGAGAAGGCAGGAGCTGGGGATGCAGGCAGCCGGGTCGCACTGAGCCTCCCGCCCGTGCCTTTTACACTGGCTTCTAATCCATTTCATGTACACTACTACTGAGGTAAGTCTGATAACTTGAAATGTGAACATCTTTAGGTTAAGAACAAACTATTCAAAGAAAAAAAAAAAAAAAAAAATTAAAAAAAAAACACCAGAACTAGTGTGCCTTATTCTCAAAAGAGCTGATATTTTAGGTGTTTTATTGTATCTCTCTTCTCTGTACTGTCAGAAGCCTCTGAGTTTATTTAGTTCTTGCTCCATTTACGGTACATTTCTAGGATGTAGTGAATAAAGCATTCTTTAAAAATGGAGACTGTTATTTCATTGCAACATCCCACTGCCAGGTTTAGCCGCTCTGCCAAGGCTGTGCTCCCCTCTGAGCTGGGGAGAGGGTGTTCAGGGCAGGAGGGGAGCTGGGTGCCGCAGCCGGCATCCCCACTGGCTCCTGCCGGGAGGAGAGATGCGCTGTCCCACTGGATCCCCCGTCCCACCACCCGCAGAGGACAGGGACCTTCCCAGCAGGTGTACTGGGCATCTCCCCATTCTTCCAACAGCCTCTTATCAGCCTAAACCTCTTCTCACACCCAGTTTAGAGTCAGTGCCTGTACGCGGATGGAGCTGAAGCTGGCATCCCTCCGTGCTTTACATCTGCCCAGCGCACAAAACCCCTGCAGCTCTGTTGCACGTCCTCACTGCAGGGCAGAGGCGCTGTGGACTGACACGTCATTTTAATCTCAGCATGCTCCACCCTTCGAACGCACAGAACACTAAGCTGCACGCCTTGGCAATATCTGCAGTCCTCCAGAATCCCTGGCTGTTTCCTTGGTGTAAGTCCACCCAGAGAAAATTTGCTGCAAATAACCAAGTCTGCAGAGAAGAGCAGTGTGAGGGCGCAGAGGTAAACTGTGGCAGAGCAGGGAAATGGGAGAAGTGTTTGCCACCAAGGCAGGGACTAGCGCTAGTGAATAATCCAGAAGAGGAGGAGACCAGAATAAATACAGCATGAGTTTCTACGTCCCTCATAAGAAAGCAAAGGTGTCTGCAACTTCCTACCTCTAGCATCATTTCTCCTAATGCAATTGGGACAAGGCACTTTATGCCAACATACCTTGGGTTTCCTAAAGGATACTAATCATGAGAGGTTTCCCTAGTCTTTTTTTGTGCAAGGAAATGGAAAGAAAATACATTTTTTAATTTTTTTTTTTTTAGGATTTGCGGGTGGGGATAGAGTCACCTAATTTTGCCTGTTTTCCATGTATAAACATTGTAGGTTTGGTTTAGGAGTCTGTGTGTCCCAGAAATAATTTCCACTACCAGGTCAATCTATCTTGCTCAGGGAATGGGTAATCAACATGAAGCTAAAAACTGCTTTCAAGGAGATATAACCACATTAGGACTTCACCTGTCAGACAAATCATCAAGTCACACAAGAAGGCTTCTTCCCTGCAATTTGTTGCTGACCTTTCCACTCACTAGAGGTCCACCTACATCCACTTGGATGAGAAAGAAACCACCAGCAAACCATGGCCCTTTACAGGTGTTCAGGCATGAGGCATGCCCTTCACAAAAAGCAACATTTTCCAAGTGAGGTGAAGAACTGTGCCACACTGAA